GATCGGACTTAAACCTTTTTGTTTGCACTTACTGATGTTGTTTCCTCCTCTCTATTTCCTTGCTTGTGTTGTTCTTACTCTCTGATGTACGATGCTTTGGATAAAAGTGTCTACTCAATGAATTGCAGAATTGTAGAATACAAGAAACTTAAGCTTTCAAAATATTTAAATTGTTCGATAATTTTTGATAGTCTACCATTATATTGCAAAACAAGACCCTCTGTTGTTTTAAAGGTCACATATTCTCCTCCTCTTCAACCAGTTTCAATAAGTCTCAGAGCTCCCCAAAACATGTGTGTGAAGTGTCTTGTTCTAAATCCACTCTGATCCTGTATTTGGTCATGTCTATAAACCCCTCTATTTCAGCCCTGCTCAGAACAGGCTGTTTCTGTGTCTGTAGCTTTAAATGTAAATGAGCTGTGTCTGACCACGCCCCCTCTCTGGAAGGGCTCGGGTGTACTCTGGCTTTCTTGCTCCATGTCCTATTGTTTACGGTGAGAAGGCAGACTCAGAGAGCAGAACAAACACCTAGCTAAGGAAGTGTCATCCACCTGGGGGAGGGGTTACTGCCCTTTGTGATGTCATGAAGGGAAAATCTCCAAACGGCCTGTTTGAGCATACATTTTCTGAAAAGTAGAGCAGGCAGAAGACAGAGAGGATGGACTTTTCTCATCATTGGGGGGTTTGTAGACTGACTAAGGACACATATTAGTGTTAGAACAACATGGTGAAGTGTATTTTGCATAATATGTGACCTTTAATGATCGATAGTGCTGGGAAAAAAAAAAACGGTATATTTTTTTCTCCCAAAGCTGTTGCAAGCAAAAAAGGGGCACTGTCTAAATTACACAAAACGTTACCAACATATTTGTGCAATTCAGACCTGCAGGAGTTTTTGGTACTTAAAATATATCCAATTACCCAATATTGGGTGCTTAAGAATGTTTTGTTGCCTTGGTATTGAAACAGGTATTCAAATTGTTTGTTTTTTAATAGAATCGTATCCATTTTTAAAATCTGGCACTGGTACAAACCTACCAATGCAGACTTTCTAACTTGATCTTTTGACCTTAATGTCCTAATTGTGTGTCAGAATAAAAGTACGCCGGTCCAGATGATGCACCAGGTGAAGACGCTGCCCTTCAACTACATCCCTGAGCTCGGTCTGCAGATCCTGGAGCTGCCGTACACTGATGAGGAGCTCAGCATGTTCATCCTGCTGCCTAAGGAGTCTGCAAACGGCCCCGACAGTCTCCTGAAGGTACTCAACCTAGAAAGAGTATGACATTTTTACAATTCAATCTGTTTTCGCTCTCCTGAAGGGTCCTTGTGGAGTCTTTTCCAACAGCGCTACCCACTGCACCACCGTGCAGCCCTGATGCCTGGCCGAGTCATATATACTGTGTGCGTTCGGACGATTAAAAGTTTAAAAATCGGCTTGAAATGTCCTTATGTCTGTGCTCTCCTACATTTTTTAAATCGGTTAAAAATCATCCAGCCAACTTTGGGCGCAGTTTTCACAGCACTCTTAATTATTCAAAAAATATATATATAAATCTGATGAGAGCTGCAATGCAAACTAAGGAACAATTTGGAATAGCATCCAATAAAGGATACTGATGAATAACTTAAAAATTCAACATTTTTGAATTAGCAAAGTTGATCCCATTTCAATCAGGATAAATATAACCAAAAGAATGTACCCACTGAAAGGGTTGTCTGTCCCTCTCTAGCAATAAGAGACAAATATATAGCTTTTGTTTATTTATAAAGGTGTCAAGATGCCCAAGTATTTCTCTCCAATTCAAAACCAATGTTCATCCAAGCAGCTTTAGAACTTTTAAACCTTTACATTCATCACTGACTAACTCCAGATATCTCTCTCATTTATCTCTGTAATCTCCACTGATAAATATTATTATAGCCTAAACATTAGCCCAGTTATACAAAGAGGAATGAACAATTTGATGTAAAATGATCAAAAAACAAACATATTGTTTGTTGTTGCAGCTGGAGAAAACGCTAACACAGGAGAAGCTGGACAAATGGACCAACAGGGAAAACATGGACCTCAACGTTGAAGTCGTCGTTCACCTGCCCAAGTTCAAGTTGGAGGACGACTACGAGCTGAACGAGCCGCTCGCCAAACTGGGCATGGCAGACGTGTTCTGCTTGGCAAAGTCAGATCTGTCCGGCATGAATGGCGATGGAGGACTCTTCCTGTCTACAGTGGCGCACAAAGCCTTTGTGGAGGTGAACGAGGAGGGGACGGAGGCGGCCGCGGCCACTGCAGGCATCGCCATGTTCTGTATGTTAAGCCCGCAGGAACACTTCACAGCCGACCACCCGTTCCTCTTCTTCATCAGGCACAATAAGACCAAGTCCATCCTCTTCCTCGGCAAGTTCTTGTCTCCTCAGTAGACCAACCCAGCAGAGGATGATGTTGGACAGATTCAAATAAAAAAGATATTCAAAATCTCTGAAGTGAAGGCTTTCTTTTTTCTTTTTTGCTGACGTTTTCTAAGTAAAGAAATGCAGATCTTATATTTCTGCCCTGAAATCATAGAGTTAGCTTTTCAAACAACTTACAAACAGGCTTAAATGTTTTGCTGTTCAGTTTGTGTATTTTAACTCCTGAATGAAGTGGAAAAAAAAATAGAACAAACATTTGGATTGTATAGCAGGCACGCCTAAAGAAAAGGCTGGGCCCCTGAAAAGGCAGAGTGAAGGGGCCCTCCTCATGGTCGGCCTTGGAAAGAAGAGTCCGGTGAAGTTTAGTCATGGTTAGGACTAAGGATTATCCAAAGAAACCAGGACAATTCTTAAGAAAAACAATTTCCTGTCAAGGTTTTTGGATTTCCATTTTCATTACTTAAAAACAAAGTTCAATTTCCTGCAATGTACTGGCAGCAGAAGTCTTAGACACATATTTAAAACCTCAGTTTACAGAAAGGTACTTCTGAAAAGTTTCATTTTTAACTGGATGAACTGCGACAGAATAAATTCAAACTGTGTTGGGTTTGAAATCATATGTCAAAGTTGTGATTACAAAAAAATGAAGAAAAACATAAGTACCGGTAAACAACAAGTCAAGTGGGTTTTGATGATAAATCTTCAAGACCCACAAGTGTGTCAGGCTACTCCTGTTGAATTTATGGTAAATGGTAAATGGACTTGAGTTTGTATATTTCTTTTCTAGTTTTCTGACTACTCAAGTTCTATTGTCCCATCAAGAAACATCCCTTTATTTGATGGAGACCCTCTTTAATACATAAGAGCTTTTGAGAATGGAGTGGAGGAGCACACAGGTTATTGGAGCGACTGCTTGCACTTTCTTAAACAGTACACCAGGGGGCAACCAAGCGCCTTGGTGCACAGCTGTCAACATCTGCCTTCAGAGCTGGGATACCAAAGAGCCAAAAGTCTTTTAGCAGAGCATTTTGGAAATGAATACAAAATTGCAGTTGCTTACATGGAAAATTGCAGCTGCCTATATGGCTGCCAATACCTGTTAAAAGTGAGGATACTGAAGCACTACAATCATTCTCACTGTTTCTTCGAGGATGCTGAACTCTTACAGAGCAAATGATGCAAATGAATGAATTGGACTTACCTTCTAACATGAGGAGTATCATCTTAAAACAGCCTTACAAATTAAGGGATAGATGGAGAAATGTTGCATGTGATCTACAAGACTGTAGTGGTTGCAGAGCGATCTAGTCAGCTTCATTGAAAAGCAAGTTAGAGTTGCCGGGAACAGGATGTGATGGTTGATCGTTTCAAAGGCTTCACTATTATCTGACAGATAAGTTCTCTGTCCAAAGCATGAAGACATCACTGGTGTTTCCCCCAGTACTATCTCAGTGCTGTAGTGAACCCTAAATGACTGAGGCATTTCCTCTTCACACTTCAAAATTTTAAAAATGTTCCTTTTTTTGATCTTGAAAAGCTTTGGATTAGATAGTAATATTTATGATGTATTTTCAGTGGATGTAGGCTACTGAACACATGAAGAGCAGAATTGTAAAGTAATAATAGAGAGCAAGAAAGTTCCAATGCAATGTCTTTATTGTTGTTTTTTATTTTCTGGTATTGTTTATTACTGTTTCATGTTTTTGATTTGGATCATTTTTATTGTTTATTATGATATTATGTCAATTTGAATCAATCATTTTAGTTTTTGGTGTATACATTTAAATTAAAACTTTAGTGACTACAAATTATTAAGCGGTCAAATTAACCTAAATCTGGGGGTTTTGAGATTGATTTACCTTCACAGATCAGGACCCACATTTATTAAACTATAAATATGACTTGATGAATATGGGCCCTGATACTGCTCACTTACTTTGTTCCTCATCTGTCCAGATGTGGAATTAGTTGAGTTGGTGGTGTGAAAAATACTGTATACAGTATATTACATTCATGCCAATAAATAAAGCTTGTTAAATTGGAAAGATGAACGGAAATATAAAGAATAAACAGCTATTTGCTTGTGTAATTTGTATAGCGTGTTGTTCAAAAGCGAAATCGCAGAGGGAGGAGAAGAGGAAGTGATGTTATACATGAGCACTGCTGTGACAGAATCAGAGCAGTAAACTGTGTTTTAAATGTAAAACAAAGTTAAGACAAAGTTGTTTTTCTACATTTCTGTCATTTACACATTCAAGCCTATAAATATTACATGAATTGAAATAAAGTCCGATGATATAAACAGTGTTTTTTGTTAAATCAAAGGGATGAATTTGAGATTTTCTTCACAGCCAAACCGCAAACTAACTGTCATGTGCAAAAATAAAAGCACGACATCGAATCTAAATATTTCGTTCAGAACAGTTATTCTGTGAAACCTTACATTTAAATACACAGTCGTGTTTTTTGCATTTTTATTAGGAATTGTTCAACTTTATTGCGTGTCTTTTGAGCAATGAACGACCAAGCTAGTTGTTCATAAACATTTATTTTGAAGTATATGACCGGAAGAAGAATGTTACGTTCGATGTTGACCCCGGCTTATCTGCGGACGAACGGTCGACAAAAACCTACTTTACATATCGGTGTAGCACAAAGTTACTGTTGAATTACGGCACTAGCGTGTCATTGAAATAGAAAAGACTTTGATATTCCACATTTTCGACATTAGTTACACAGTTATGTTTCAGTTTATTAGGCTGCATAAATTAGGAATGTTGCAGCTTGTGCAGGCCAGCTAGCATCAACTTTGGCTAATAACGATAGCTGGCGTGGCTTGTATTTTATGGTAACAAGAACTCTCTTAACACCTCTGATGAGAAAAAGGAGGTAACAACGAAAAGGTTTGCATCGGGATACTGTTATTGTAAAGGTAAGCTTGCAAAATAAGATACTTTTATTTATATAGAATAGTTATGAGACTGTGACTATATAGTTGCTCTGTTTGTTTTCCTTGGTATTTAAATGTCGTGAGCTTCAACACCTTGTAGTAATACTGATCTGTTGTATGACGTGGCATTTACCTGAGCCTTTAGCTCTGCAAACACCTAAGTTTGTCTGCATACACCCCACCTGTAGACACACTTAGGTAACCAGTTCCATAATAACTACACCTTCATGTGCCAAAGTCTTTTTTGTTAACCTTAACATCATGTTTTGATCGTTTTAATGCCTATGCATCACTGGATATTTTGTGTTTTGCTTCTTCCAGATGAACGGTCAGGGTGAACACACTGCTCCACTGAGGGTGCTGGTTACAGGGGGGTCCGGCTTGGTGGGCAGAGCCATACAGCATGTGGTTAGAGAGGAGGGGGGAGCCAAGGAGGGGGAAGAATGGATCTTCCTCTCATCAAAAGATGCCAACCTCATGTGAGAACATACTCCCATGCATGCATCTTTCCCCTTTATATCTGTCCACATTAAGTACAAAATATCTAAAGTTTAGTTTTGTTATCGGTGTTATTTAAAAAAAAAAATTCAATCCCCTGTCAAGATTGTTTTCCTGCAAAAGCCCTACAGCCTCCGCTCATTACCTCATTTCTGTTACTGTGACCTCTCTGCAGGAACATGGATGAAACACGAGCAGTGTTTGAAAAACATCGGCCGACCCACGTCATTCACCTGGCTGCTATGGTTGGGGGGCTTTTCAAGAACATGAAATACAACCTTGACTTTTGGGTAGGAGGACATTACTCCTTTGTTATCACTGCTGATGTGTTTGAAAAGAATAATCTGAGTATGTTATTATAATTCTATCTTCATGTAGTTTCTATTGAAACGACTTGTGTTTTTTGTTGCTTTGGATGTGTCTGTCCCCTGCAGAGAAACAATATCTACATGAATGATAACGTGCTGCAGGCGTCAAATGAAGTTGGAGCTGTCAAGGTTGTTTCTTGTCTCTCCACCTGCATCTTTCCTGATAAGACCACCTACCCTATAGATGAGACTATGGTAAAAAAAAAATATATATATATGCTCTGTTGGTTTGCATGTAGCAGTTTGTAAACAGTGGCTAACTTCACTTCTTTTTCAAGATTCACGATGGTCCACCTCATGATTCGAACTTTGGTTATGCCTATGCAAAGAGAATGATTGATGTGGCTAACAGGTGAGAAGTCTACCCTTTATAACATGTTAGTTGAATTGACACGATACCATGAGTAATGATTGTGTGTTAAACTGTATATGTTGTTTTGCAGGGCTTATTTCCAGCAGCACGGGCGCTGCTATACAGCTGTGATTCCTACAAATGTGTTTGGTCCACATGACAACTTCAGCATTGAGGACGGTCATGTGCTGCCAGGCCTCATACACAAAGCTTACATCGCCCAAAGTAAGTCACATGGTCTTACAAGTGTCATAGCCAAAGCAAGTATATATAACTGTAGATATTTAAACTTTCTTTTATCGGTTTATTTGCTGTATATATATTTTTTAAATGATTGAGTTGTGTTGTTACCATTTAAGGACATCAAAGGGAAAACAGTGTTTTATATGGATATGCAGGGGTGGAATGTAACATTTGCTCCTCTGTTCTTTAAGTCATGCTCAGTCTGGTGTGTTTTGTACCTTTTCATAATTGTAACAGTCCAGATAAAGGTGGGAAAAAAACAGCTGCAGTCCTTTAAACACGGTGGGTTATCGAAAACTCTGCTGTGCCTGACAAATCGGAGACGTTCAGCACTGCAGGCGGTGCAGGCCTGGAAAGCACTACCCCACTAGCAGGGTCTTTTTTAGGGGTGAATCTTTTATCCCAGAACATAGTTTAGAGCCTGGTTCCTGCGGCCGAAATGCACATAGTTCCTCAAAAAAGGTGCATTTGTACATTAACGTAAGAATATATGTAGGGCACTTTTACTTTCCTCATATTCTTTAGTCTTCTCCTTCAATAGTTCACAGAGGGAAATATTGTGTTTTTCTCCCACATTTATTCAGCTTTAACAGCCTATGTTTCTACCTGAGGTTCAATTTTAAAAATCGCACGTTATAATGTGCTTTACGATGCTGAAGATTATAGCAATGGTTTGTGTTTGTGTGTATTTTTTGTTCACCGTTAGAGGAGGGGAAGCCCCTGGTGGTCTGGGGATCCGGCACTCCCAGAAGACAGTTCATTTACTCTTTGGACCTGGCTCGTCTCTTCCTGTGGGTCCTGAGAGATTATCCAGAAGTGGACCCAGTCATTCTCTCAGGTGAGTCCTCATACACGGCTTAACTAACAAAACAAAAAAATGAAGCTGAATCAAATTAAAAAATGATGCCACTGTCACGTCTGCTGGTTTGCAGTTGGAGAGGAAGATGAAGTCTCCATCAAAGAAGCGGCAGAAGCGGTTGTTGAAGCTCTGGACTTCAGAGGAGAAGTGGTTGTATCCTTTTAAATGAAGTGCTTTTTTTATTTGACATATTCAGAGGGGTTTTAACTTCAATCAGAACTTTCACAAAAGTCCAGGGACAGAACACTGACAGAATCCTACATACTGGTCCTTTTAAATGTATGACTGTCAGTAACATGCAAGTGTATTTCCATAAAATGGAGCGACGCCTGTGAGTTAGTCCAGGCAGAGAATTCGAGCTGCGCTGATTTCACCTGTTTTGCATGCTATCACTTACCAATGTTTATGAAAGGGGGAATTAGGGTATTCAAATATTTCTCATCATCTTGAGAGTGCCATGTAGTTTCCTTGACCGTCGGCGTCTAGTTTGATACGAGTAAAGCAGACGGTCAGTTCAAGAAGACGGCGAGCAATGCAAAGCTGTGCCGCTACCGGCCAGACTTTACCTTCACACCCTTCAAGCAAGGTGGGACAGACTCACTGGTCGTTATTTTGACGTCAGCAGTGCATGTATTAAAAACACCTGATGATAATTGAGTGTTTTGATTACATCTCATTGCAGCTTTAAAGGAGACCTGTGATTGGTTTGTCACAAACTATGACTCAGCACGGAAGTGAAACCGCTGACGGTTGAAAGTCTGTCGATCCGGGAGCAGTTCTGTTGGTGGAGGAAAGAAGAAGAGAAAGTGATGGTGCTGCTGAGTGGGACATGGTTAGAAGAAAAACATGGAGGTTCATCTGCACAGGCGCGATGACTGTTACTGAATGGAGTCATGTCTGAACGTCTGAAGTCAGATCTGCAACACTTACAATGATGTTTTAGAAGACTTGTTTCTTTTTAAGGATTTTAAAGAATTATGTAATTCTAGGCTTTGTATTTTTCTACCTGTGTGTAGAACTTTCCACTTTCAGTAGTGAGACACGTTTGAAGTTTGAATTGAATGCTCTAACCTATAAATCAAGTGCTGGCACTATCTGCTCATTCAGAACTGTATCTGTGTAGTGTACTGTTCAATATTTCATTTCTGAAGAACCTTTCATTTTGGAAAAGTTTGGGACGTTTTGAATGACCTTGATTGACTTTATTTAAAGAAAATAAAGATTTATGGTATATTTTGTTAAACTGGTGTTTTTTAACTCAGTATATTGCCACAGCACCAGCGTAATAAATATTTTATACATGTGATGTGTGATGAATTTACTCCACCATGAAGTGTCCACCAGATTAAGAGGTGAATTCTTTATGTTTTTGGGCCTTTTATGCCTTTATTGTAGAGATAGGACTGGATAGAACCAGAAAATCAGGGACGGAGAGAGAGAGAAAGTGGGGTAAAGGAGCCAGAGGGTGGATTCTAGCTGCCTGCATGGAGGACTAAAGCCTCCAGACATACATAGGGTGTGTGTCCTAACCATTCGCACCTCTGGATTTCAGTATTTCAATGGAAGATCAAATAGAACCCTTACAAACTGGTCGCAGAATCATGTTCTTCCTTGCCCTCCCATTAGCCCCCATCTTTTGAAAACTGAAAAATCTGTGAAGACATTGCGCTTTCTTCTAGGTACCAACATGTATCCAGAGAACAGATTTCCGTCCACACATCAAATTAAAGCCGTGTCACCACACAGTGTCCTATGCACTTAAAAGCAGAGAGTAGTTTTTCATATGGCATCATAGAGTCCAGATATTTCAGGGATCCTGTAGAGGATACTCCAAACAGTTTGGTCTTCTCTTGTTACCATCATGAAACAATGATTGTCCATGCTTTTGTTTCATCAAGGCTTGATTATTGTGATTCCCTGTTCACATGTCTGAGCATCACATCCTTGAACCAGCTACACGCAAGTCCACTATGCTCCTCACTGCACTGGCTTTCAATCTTTTTCAGAATCCAATTTAAAATGATTCTTATTTTGGTTAGACCCTTGCATGGTCATTACTCTAACCCTCCTGCTTACAAATTTGAGCTGCTAAAGCCATGTAACACCAGCATGACCCTGAGGTCCTTTCATCAGGGTCTGCTGGTTGTTCCTCGCAGCAGACTTAAAAGGACAGCGATTGTGCCTTTGAGTTTGCGTCACCTAAACATTGGAACAGAGGTGTGAACGCTGTGGACACTTCTACATAACGATTAAAAGATTTCCTCTTTCTATTGATGTAGAATTTTTTTTTCTGTTCTGAATGATGCATTAAAAACTCAACCCTTCTCCAATCTGATTATTTTATTAATAATAATAATGAGGATGGTATATGAAAAAACAACAGCTTTTTCTTTTAAATCATAGGTATAGAAATAATTTATTAACTTAAAAAAATACAGTGTTAAAAACATGACATAAAAATATACAAGTATATTCAAACATTTCAAATGTAGTGCTTACAAGCAACTTAATGTTAGAGGGGAACAGGCAGAATCACAATAACAGGTACAGGTACCGTATTTTGCAGATAAAAATAATAATAAAAATATCTGAGGATATCAGGACTGAACATATGAGGTGAGCCCCCCTTCATGGACTCTGCAGTACTCCAGTCCCGGCACGGCTCTCTTCTTACACGCTTTTCCTGTTTTGGTGATGCCATTGCACAGCTGACGGCCTGACAGAGAGCTGCTCCAGGAAAGACGGAGAGAAAAACAAAACTTTAACTACAAAGAACTGACTCAAATGTTTCATTTTAGAGGTGTAACCGCAGAGTGTCAAACCCTGACCTGTTGCTGACCATCGACGGTGCAGGACTCGCACTCCGGGAGTCGTTCCCATAATCACGCGAGTCGTTCACTGCATCAAAACCATCAAGGTTCCTCAGGGGGATACTATCAACCAGAGCCTAAAAAAATAAATAAAAATAAACCCACTAATTAAATAATTCATATGAACAATTATCTAGGTTATCCTTCGTACCCAGTTTGATTTTTCTGCTCACCCCTGAAATAAGCAGGTGTTGGACGAGCCGGGGAGTCGAGTGATTGGGTGTGCCAATAATCGGAGTGAATCTGGACCCTGGGACTGGCCTCCTGTGGGGAGGGGACACCGCTGACATGCCGAGGGCGCCTGGATGTAAAAACATGAGGGACAGCAAGTATGAGAGACTGAGTCTAGTAGAGCATCACTTTTATTTGAATGTTAGAAAATTAAAAGTATGGACCTCACACCTGATATGAAGCTGTCCTGATTCAGCAAGTCGTCTTGTTCCATGAAGCCGTCTTTCTCATCTCTAGAGGAGATAGCAGGACAATTGTTAAAACTAGCTAGGCAACTGCTCAGATATTACAAGTCACTCTCTGTATTAAAGGAGCACTATGTAACCTTGTTAACCAAATTCAAAACTTTAGAGAGAGCTGTTTCCCCCCGCCCCCTCCTCTCCAGAGTCAATGCTCATACAGGTTGCCATGTGGTGGACACCGTAGCTTCAGTGTTTAGCCAGCTCTGCATCGGTCTGTAAACCTTTCTGTGTTCTAACCTCTCTCCATTTTCCAAAAGCATCTCCAATATTGATCGTAGTTTCAGTACGTTTCTGCTCGTGGAGCTTATTAGAAACATGCAGAGGATTTTTTAGGTCGGGTACAATCACTTCTATCTGAACCACTTCTCTTGCCCGCTTCCATCTCTGCAACACCTATTGCTTTTTCTGGTAAACCAAGGGGCATCCAAACTTAGTCAACTACTCACTTATTTGCCAACTTTTCCATTTTAAGAAGCAGAAAAAAGGGGTCACAATTCCTGGAATCTTTTCCCCAAATTTCAATCATTTCAGGTTCTTTATTTTGTAACGGTAAAATAAATGTGTGCTCAAACAGGCCGTTTGGAGATTTTCCCTTCATGACATCATAAAAGGGCAGTAACCCCTCCCCCAGGTGGGTGACACTCCCCCAGCTAGGTGTTTGTTCTGCCCTCTCAGTCTGCCAACGTAAACAATAGGACATGGAGCGAGAAAGCCCGAGCCACCCAAGCCCTTCCAGAGAGGGGGCGTGGTCAGACACAGCTCATTAACATTTAAAGGTACAGACACAGAAACAGCCTGTTCTGAGCAGGGCTGAAATAGAGGGGTTTATAGGCATGATCAAATACAGGATCAGAGTGGATTTAGAACAAGAAACTTCACACACATGTTGTGAGGAGCTCTGAGACTTATTTAAACTGGTTGAGGAGGATAATATGTGACCTTTAAATGCCCAGGTTATAGAACAATAAAAGTAAGGCTCACTTCTCTGGTGTGGAGGACGGTGGAAATGAGTGGCAGGATGAAAAAGGCTGCTTCTCTGGTTTCACAATGTCACAGGGGGCTAGTGGAAGAGGAGCGGCCGGCTTTCCTTTGGACTGGAAACAGGCGCACAACCGATTCACAAACCAGTAACCTAAACATAAGAAAAGGGATGAAGTCTTTGTGACAAATCCAGGAAAACATTTGAGACATCGTTTTTTGCATTTTGAGTTTGTACCCAGAGAGAGCGTGAGCATCAGCAGGCTGAGGCCAGTCAGATCCAGCGCTGGTTGCTGGTTGACCTCGGCCACAGCGTTCAAAGGGACGGTGAGCAGCAGCATGGCTCGGGAGAAACCAGGACAACGCAGGAACGTAAGCAGGACTGCGCACAGTACAAAGTATCCTGTATGTGTAACACACGTCCACATGGCCGTCAGACTCAAACCTGTGAAATCAAGAAGAACAAGAGAAGCTCTAATCAGCTGATTTCAGGACGACGATATTTAACGCTAAATATAATTTAAAGAGGACATATTATCCCCTTTTCCACCTTTTCAAACAGTCCCCTGTGGTCTAAATGAAACATCTGTGCTGTGGTCAAAATATAACATGAATCAAGCACCAGAGGAGGTTTGTGACCCTGTATAAACCAGCTCTCTGAGAACGCGCCGTTTTGGTGTGTATCTCTTTAAATGCAATGAGCCCCCGCTGAGTTTTTCTGGTAGAGAAAGGGAGGGGAGGGTATTTTGTTCTTACCAGAATCCCACTGTGACATCACAAGGAGCGCAAATTTGAAATGGAGCATTTTTCTCTGTGTTGCAAGACTTATGCAGACCACAAACACTAGATGGGTTTATTTCACATGTTGTGGGTCGGTGGACACTCAGGTTACCCAAATATATGTTCAAAAACACTGTAAAAGCGGATTTTTCATAATATGTCCCCTTTAAACAGTAGTCAACTGACCATTAATTATAATATTGGTGATTGCAATAAAATCAAAATTAAGATCTGCTTTGGATTACAATGATATACCCTGGTTTTTTTTTACCTCAAATTTAATTTTGAAGGGACCGTTTTGTAGGAAAGGTTGGTTCCTACATGAACACGATCAGGGGGAAATGGAGTGATGTAACATTTGTGTAAACAATTAGTGTTTTGTGAACTAACTGTACATCTCTTGGTCACCACTGGTCTGGTGTCTCACCTGCCCAGCCCAGGTAGCCCTGGATCGTGTGAAGCCTTTCCTCGATGCGGCTCTGCATGTTATCCAGGTAGTGCAGCAGGAATCCCAGTGTGCTGTTCATGCGCTCCAGTTTGTTCATCAGGTCCGTGTAGTACTGGGAGGTCTGGTCCTGGTACTGCAGGAACTCTGACATGCTGTGATCTGAACAGACGTGGATACACAGGAATGAAGAAAACAAACGAACAGAACAGCACTCGTTTGAACAACGGTGCGGTTCACTTAGATAAAGTGATGCTCAGTTTGATTACCAATCTTCTGGTAGATGTCCTGAGCTTGGTGTCTGACGTCTGTGAGGTCTTTGACGATGGCGTTGTGGTTGTCCTGCACCTCTGAGCCCTGGATCTGCAGATGCTCGCTCACATTTTCTACAGAGGGCGACAGGTGGTGATGATCATTTCAAACGCGATGATATTATACATTGTCCCAAAATATACCAGAGGTGACTGAATTCTGCTTTTATTCCAGATTCAGGACAGTGAATCTGACCACATGGAGCTCTCACCCATTTTCTCCGTGATGCCGTGAATGAGCTGGGCGACGAGTTCCTGTCCCGAGGCGATGAGAGCTTTCTCCTGACCCAGACGCTCCAGGTTGTTCCTCAGTGAGCTCTCCATCTGCTCCTGACCCTCGTACAGTTTCCCCTGTTGTTCCTGCAGGGCGCTGTGACCGTCCAGCACCTTGTTCAGGGAGGCTGCGGTCAGCTCCTTCAGCTGCAGCTGGCCCTCCTGTTACAACACGTCATGTCATCAAGGCATCGCAGGGACTTCATCTTAACTGTACACTTGAAGAGAAATCCGAACCACTTTACCTTCAGGTCCTTCATTGCGTCGAGCTGATTGGTGGCGGTGGAGATGAGAGCGTTCACCGTGTGCTCTGCTCTGCGCCTGAAGAGCTGCTGTCGAGTCGCGTAGCAAACTGAGCGCGCTCGGTTGCTCACTATGTGGTAGGCGTTCCATGTGTCCGAATCCATGTCTGCTGTGCACTCTTTTATAGTCTGGAACATCAAAATTAGATTTTAAAAAAAAAAGTAGCTCCTCAATTAAAAAAAACGACCTCCTTCATAAAACAAATGTTTACCATTTCCTCTGTACACGGGTAGGTTAGGCGTCCCTCACTCTCTGCCTGGCAGTTGAACAGAACAACGCCGAGTTTGGCAAGCTGCTCCTCTGAGAGGCCGTCACAGCTCGCCTTCAGACGGGCAACCACCTACAAAAGGGGCAGAGCTTTATTCACATGAAGAATCCAAATCAGAGGCAGTGAACCAAAGCAGCTGTAACCCTGCTAAGAAGAGGAAGTATCAAACAAAGAGAAGGCTTTACAAGGTTTTTACTTTTCTTGCCTTTTATTTCACTTTTAGGCCGAAGACATCGTCTAACCAAAATGTTAAGAAAGGAAACTCCTTGTAAACCAAACTTGTGGGATTTTTGACTGTCAAAGTTAGTAGTTTCAACTCATTTTTTTTCTAAATTACACAAGAAAAGTAAGACATTTCTAACATGTAATCAAATTAAATGATCCAAATTGTGACTCATCAATGTCAGCCTAACATAAACCCACACAAATCCAAACATACAAGTCACGATTTGCACCAGAAGTGAAAAATAAAAAATAACTCTTTAACTTCAAGGATAAGAAGCTGAATTTTACCCTATAATGACAGCTGTCTAGCGGGCTGATCTCCATGTGCTTTGCCTCAGACAAAAACTTCTCGTCTGCGGTTGCCATCTCGAACTTAGCATCTTTTGCAAGCAGCGCCGGAGCTACTGGAGGATGTGCTGCTGCTTTTGAAGGAGCGTCTGTCTGTCTCAACCATTCAAACAGGCCGCTGACACCCGGACTCAGACAGAACAACATGCTGATCAGCAGGACACACAGCTGACGGATCAGTAGACCACCCATAACTGTAAAAAAAAAAATAACAGAAGAAATCAATATCATTTACAGATCCGAATCTAAAATCTTCATGGATTTGAAACATTTATTAAAAACAGCTAAATGTTTGGGAAATACATTAAAATATTTTTTTTGCCACCATTCAGAAGTTGTGCTGCTTGGAGACTAAAGTTACACATCAGTTTCATGATTTAATGATATAAAGATTATTTTTGATTTCGAATTATTGCGTCTAAATTCATTGTTGTTCGTCTTCACGCTTTAAAATATTCAACCTCTCAACAACAACAAAAAGAGTGACCCTGTAGAGTTACCCTACACAACAAATGACCTAACATCTAAAAAGGGTGCATCTACCAAATCTGTCGCTAGATGGCGACAACAACAAAGCCACCAAAATGATCGGTTTGATTGACTAATTGAAAATGTACACAGATCATTCTGGAGGTTTCTTACTCACATGCATTTCTGGTGCCTTATATGCACATGCAGAGTTTGTCTAACTGTTTTATATGAAAAGCTTATCAAAACTTCATTCATTCATTCCCTTTTTTTGGGGGGGGGGGGGGGGGCACACCGAGGCTTGTCCAGGCATGTCTGCTCTGCTGCATAAACGCTCCAACTCAGTATATACTGCAGCATCATTTAAGACACGCAATTACTTATAATTATACAAGTAATTAAATATATTTCAAAAGTGAAATTGGTCTCCTCTGCACTAAATTAATGAAAGTTTCACGCATCTTTCTCGTCAACTTGCCGAAAGACAAGCGCAGAAAAGCCATTTAAAAACTCCAACAGAGTGCAGTCAGCATTCAGAAAACAACATTAGAGCACATCGCACAAAACGTAACTCTCTCTGCTTCACGTACCTCGCTCATTAATCTCGCAGGAAGCTCCTCGCTGGCTTCACAGCTGATTTGAATGACAGCTAAATTTGGTCCACCACCGTGTCTCCGCCCTAAAACGACGAGACGACGCAGCCAATCAGAACGCTCTCATTTTACTGCGATGACGTGCATGAGATGTGCTTGATTTACACCACTGGTAAGAGCGGGGCGAGAACACGCGTGGAATGTGTGGACGAGGACGCTGACGGCGCCGCCCGGCTGGCAACAGCAAAAAATTAAGATACAACAAAACAAGAACAACAACAACACAGCGCCTGTTCTCGGGACCTCTGCTGGATTCTCCGGGTGTTCCCAAACTCACTGACAGATTGAATCAAACTACACTTTGAGCTGTCGGACATCAGATAATCTGGAAGCCCACCAGGTGAATACATACCCTGTCATCAGCAGCGTGTTTTTTTTCTCCCCCCCCCCACAGCATCGCCTGACATCGTGTTTATGTCACTCCGTGTTATTTTATGGTTGTCCAGTCTGCAACCACTACACGTGCGTTGTATTCCTAATCTCATCCGTGGTGGATTATGTTCCGGCTGTGTCTAGCTAGATGCAGCAGCAGCAGCAGCAGCAGGGCTACAATCCGGCTGTTTTAAAAATCGAGGCTTTTGAGATTTTTTTTTTTTTTACAGGCGCGTTTCTTCCGGGTATTTACGTTCAGATTTGAGCTAACATGCTAGCGACGCGTTAGCATCGTTGGAACGTTGGACTCAGTGTCGCGAGCTTGCGAGGCTGCGTTGCCATGACAATGGAAGACCCCGGAATCAAGAAGCAGAACTGGGACGTGAAGGAGACCGAGTTGTTCCTGGAAATCCTCAAAGAGCTCGATATGGAGAAGTGCTTGGACGGCAGGAAAGTGAGGAATGCTAAGATCTTCAAAGTGGCACACAGGAGGATGACAGCGGCCGGGTATCAGAGATCTGTGGACCAGTTGAAGTTCCGATGGAAACTTCTCAAAAGTGCGTACTACAAGCGCAAGAGAGAGCCAAACTCCTCCGCGCCGACCAAAATACAAGGCTGGTGGAGGTATGAGAAGACAATGGTTGATATCATGGAGTCCAGGCACCCCCTTGTCGAAGCGGGGGTGCACTCGGACAGGAACGATGAAGGGACAGAAGAGTCGGATGGAGATGCGTCGATGCTGCACTGGCCGCAGCCCTGCGCGGATAATGCTAACCAGAGCCTGAACCTGGATTTAATTGTAGGGGTGACACCGTGGGTGCGATGTAGTTTGTACGGAAGACGATTAGGACCAAAGATGAGGAATGTGTAATGAAAGGAGGAAGACTTTTTTTTTTTTTTTTCCGTAATGCACTTCGAGAAAAATGTCAAAATATCGAGAATAAAAGGCGAAATGTGGAGAAAAATGTCAAGAATAAAATTTAAAGTAGAGAAAAAAAAAAGTCGAAATGTGTCAATTCAAATTGTTATGTCAAGAAATAAAGTCAGAGTTGAGAAAGGTAGAATATGAAATTTTAAGACAAAAATTCAAAACTTTGAGAAAAGAAAAAATGACGAAAATAAAACTGAAATGTTGAGAATAAAGTCTAAATGTCAAAATTCAAATTGGTCTTAGGAAGGACGTCAAAATGTCGAGAACACGATTAAAGTCGAGCAAAAAGTCAACATGTCGAGAATAATGTCGAAATGTGTATTTCAAGAAAAAAAGTCAGAGTTGACAAAAAAAGGTTAAGCGTCGAATACGAAATTTTAAGAAAAAAAAATCAAAAGTTTGAGAAAATAAACCGAAATGTCGAGAATGAAGTCCAAATGTCGAAATTCAAATTGTCAGGAAAAAATTTCAAAAGTTTGAGAAAAGACAAAATTTCATTTCGAGAAAATAATCAAAATGAAAATAAGACATTTTGAGAAATATGTTCAAATGTTGAAAATAAAATTGATATGTTGAGAGAGAAAAAAAATGTGAATAAGAAATTTTGAGAAAGTCAAAATGTTGAGAATTAAGTTGAAATACAATTTTGTGACAGTGACTTCTTTCTCAAAGTTGTATTTCACTTTTATTCTCAAGATCCCAACTTCTTTTTCTCAGCAGTTCAACTTCTTTCTCAACTTGCAGTGCATAATGAAAAGAACTCTTCCTTCTCTCTTTATTTGTTTCTCATGCCTGGCTCTTGTCCTCTTCTTTAAGTCTGTCATCAGATCATAACTGTGGTTGCATTTCCTTCATGTGTTTCCAGATGCATGCATCCATTTCCAAACTGTGCGTGAACATTTCTGCAGGTTCACTTTGCAAAAAGTGAATGTGTCCAGATACAACAGTCCTCCAATAATCTTGTATTTATGATCTTTTGAATGCTTAGTTTTTTAATAGAGGTGTTGGTTCAGCTTCATGGTCATTTTGGAGGTTTATAGATTTTAAAAAAAAATGTGAATACCGGGGTCATAGTATCAAATATTCTCAAATTCATGAGAGAGTGGAATATATTTCTGGGCAGTTGAGTAAAGCTGCATTAGTTTGACCTTATCGACCTTATGTGCTGAGTCTAAATTACTATGGTACAAAAGCCTAAGTATTTTAATCCCTCCGTATCCAGAGGTTTCTGTCCTGTTACTCTCCCATGATTGGTCGATTTATTTCTAAATCCATAAATTATGATTTTTTTTATGCCGAAAGAAGCACGTTAAGGTTAATTACGTTAGAGAAAAAAAAACATGGTATAACAATGAGTTGTCATTGTTTATCGTACTTCCATGTGAAGCATAAATCTGATCACCCCCAGCTTTAGCAGCCACCTCCCTGCTGAAACATAATCAGGTTACACGCTCGATGGATAAATCAGATTAGGTTCCTGTGCTGCAGAAACCCGCTCTTTTAGCCCTGTAAAGTCTTTGAGGATTACGTTTGCAATGCCCTAGATGGGGAAACCAGGCTGTGGCAGCAGCTATGAATGAGGGAGGAGGAGGACGGAGAAATCTGATTACTCACCAACTGTCCAGCAGGATTTTCTATGCTATCTGGTTTCCTGCTTTAACCTGATTTCTCCCGTTAATCCGGTCTCTTGCATGCATGTGAACCTAGTCGAGAGTCACAATGCATCTCCTTGCTGCCATATGGGAGTCAAGAAATGACATATTTCTCTTGAAGTGATGAAACTCATTTCACAGTACGTTATACAGTGAAGACATTAAATATCTGTTGGAGTGCACAGACGAAGTATAGATCTAGTCAAGTCTATCCGTTTTGCACATTTTACACAAGTCGAAACGTTGCCAGCTATAAAGAAGGAAGCACGTCTCCCCCTTTTTAACCTCAGAAGATAAGATATTCTTCATAATAGTTCAGCTGTTTTTAAAAAAAGTTTACATGTATGTAAGACAAAGTTGCATATTCAGTCTGTACATGTTTTTTTATTTTCCTGTAGACAAAAGAGAGACGAAAGCTGTTTTCACATCTGCACTCCTGAAAATATCTAGATCATTTCAGGTGGACTGCTCTGGATATTCTCCTGACATGCTAGAGAACAGAAAACATAATGCAGCCGTTTAATCATGTGCATTCAGATCGTAGCCGTCCCGTGCAGACACTCACAATGCAGCAGGCACAGTATTTAAACGTCACCACGCTCTCTTGTTGGCTCGAGTCAGATTTTTAAAGGGCTGCATGTCGGTGTCAAAAAATGAAAAGTGCGGTTTACCTGTCAACGGAAAAGTTTTCAATTTGTTTCTTTTGATCAACCATCAGTTCCAAACCCAAATAGCATTTATTTACTTTCATTAGAAGAAAAACATCCGATCCTCACGTTTGAGAAGTCAGAATATGAGATTCTTAAAGAGGCTATATGTAACTTTTTACATGTATAAATCGTTGTCTATCGCCCATTAATTAAGCGAACAGTTAACTGATGTGAAAAAGTAGATGTTCACTGTCCATCTGTGTTGCCTGTATCAAATTTTTCCCCGGGTCGTATTTTTTTCCGCGAAAGTGTCTGGACATTTTATGCACGTTCTCAACGTCCTCCTCACTCCGCTCCGCTTACAGAGATCAACAGTACAAACTCATCACACACTCCCGCTAGAGCCAGAGGCCACCTTCCACACTATCCACTCTTAAGAGCTCTCAAAGGCGGACAAACTCATCACACACTCCCGTTCTCAGCCAGTGCCTGCCTGTCGTTTGTAGGATGGAGAATGAATACAGACACACAGACTCCTTCACAGACTTTCACACGTGTATGACCACTTACCTCCTCTGAAAACATTATGCCGGTAAATATCCAGTGTTTCACGGCCGATGATGATGATGATGCTCGTTTGTGTACGTACAAGCACGTATGACGAGCACGTGAGGGAGAGCGAGCAACAGGTTACTGCTGCAGTTCGCCTAACGACCTCGCTGCAAAAGCAGAATTTTTGAAAGTTACATATAGCCCCTTTAAAGGGCTTATTTGCTTGAAAAACTTTCAACACAGTTGGGATGTTTATGTGGTTGCCGTGGAAACAGGTCATGAACAGTTTTGTGTTGTCGGTCGTCCTGTGATTTTAAGGTGTTTGTTAAACTTTAATACCGTGTGCTGTTGATGTTTGACTCTCACATCCGTTCCCGTCCTTTTCCTTCAGATCAAAATGGACCCTGAGATGGACACTCAGCTGAAGATCGGCTTCATCGGTGCTGGGAACATGGCCTTTGGCATCGCTAAGGGCATCTTGTCTGGTGAGTCAGTGAAGAGTCTCTGAAACAGCACTAGTGGTTTGAGGTCGAGGTGTTTATTAACAGTCTCCTGTTCCCTAACAGGAAATGTTCTCCCTTTAAACATCCGAGTGAGCGCTCCCTCCTCCAGGAACCTCGGACGCTTTCAGGTATTTTCCTTCTTCTTTACTTTTCAGTTCTCTTTTTTTATTCTTTTTTTTTTTTTTTTAACGGTTTATTTTTTGGCTTTTTATGCCTTTTATTAGAAAGACGGGACAATAGATTCAGAAATCAGAGAGTGAGTGTGGAATGACATGCAGGACAGGAGCCACAGGGCAGATTCTTACTAAGGCTACTGGTGCTCCTTCTGTTGTCATTTATACAGACTGAGTTGCAGGATACTTAATAGTTGTGTTTAGGATCACAGTTACTGTTTATAATCAGTTATCCTTGAGGGATGTTTGTCCTACAAACTAACCCAGCACAGTCCTGCACGTGTCTTTTCTTCTCTTTCATCATCTGAGTAGAGAGAGCAGTTTGCGTGTCATGCATGTTAAATTGGTTTTATTTAGAGACCTTAAAGCTCCTGTGATGTGTTATTATCTGGTTATAAAACAGACTTGGAATTAAAACTGATGTATCTACATGAGCCACAAAAGCAAACACGTCCATCATCACAAATTCTGTTTCCATATCGTTATTTTAACTGCCTGAATCTGCTGCCACAGGGTACAGTATGTGTACATTAAGAGATTGACAGCATGTTGAAACAGCCTTTTTTCATGCTCCATTGCAAAGATTCACAGAGAGGGATATAAATGACTGCTTAAAGACAGCCGGAGGACATTTGTATGTCAGAAAGATGACTTACACGTGCATAGGCAAAAGTCAACAAAGAGATTACAGATTAGAGATTTGTCCACTGGGGTCATCGAAATCAGACCCCAAAGTTCCTCACTGGAGTTTTAAATCGTGCTGTAATGAAGGTGCCATCATTGTGCTAGGTTTGCTTTTTGAACTAAGCTACGGCCAAATATTGCAGCCCGCTGTGTGATTTTACACAGCGTGCAAACTGACATGCAACACAATGATGTGTGCGTCGAGTGTGCCATGAAAGCAACAACAACAAAAATAACACAAATTCATTTTTTGATACGTTAACAATATAGCCTAATAATAATTGCAGGTATTCAAAACATGAATATATGCTGACGATTATAAGCACGGATAAATAACCTCATATTACATCATGGTCTGCATGAATACTTGATTCTGATTGGCTGAAGGGTGTCACATGGGTGTGCATTAACTTATGATATATGTACACCTTGGAGAAGTAGTTCCAGTTAAACAGTCTGTTCCTTGTTCCAAATGGATGTACTGCAGAAGATGGTATCTAAGATGAGTTGCCATAGCAACAGAGACGCAGACAAATCCTCTGTGTATGATTTAATTACAACAAAATAACCAACTACCGTACATAGCCTACAAAAATTAGGGATTTTGTTAAACCGTTTTTTGGTGAATACAAAACACTGATTCGGACGCAGGTGAGGAAAGAAGAAAAAAAGAAGAGAGAGAAACGGCACATTGGAAGAATTAAATTAACTAGAGGAGGAGAAGGATGAGATCAGCATTCTGCTTGATTTCTTCTAGCAATGAGGACCAAACATAAATACATGTTATCAATATGTCAGCCCATAAAAAATTGTCCTCCAGCCCTCAGTGATGTTTGGCACAACCAACAAATGGTAATCCATATATACTGGATTAAAGATAAGACAGGAAAAAAGAAAAGCAGTAAATCCTCTCAATGGAACAGCATGGACCAATTACTGTGTAGGGGTGGGCTGGGGGAATGATTCATTTTATTTCTCTTAAATAGTTCCTTTTTTATCGATGCATTTTCAATCAACAAGTTGAACACATTGTTAGTCTTAGCCGTGGATATGTTGTGTTTGTAAACGCAGGTTTGACATATTGCTCAGTAATCTCCATTTCCGTTGTTTTTCAGGAGCTCGGGATTCCCGTCACTCACTCCAACGTAGAGGTGGTCTGCGGCTCGGATGTGGTTTTTGTGGCGGTCAAACCTCACCTGGTTCCCCGGGTTTTCAGCGAGGTCTCACAATTCATCACTGACCGTCACATTATTGTGTCTGTGGCTGCAGGAGTGACTCTGGCAACACTAGAGGAGGTGAGGCACCGGCCTGCATGGCGGTGTGATTGTCCGAGTAAACAGGAGCTCTAAAGTAACGCTCCTTCCTTTTGTTTCCCAGCTCCTGCCAGAGAATGCAGTCGTCATCAGACTGATGCCAAATCTCCCGTGTGTGCTTCAAGAGGGGGCTCTCCTGTTCACCCGCGGGTCCCGAGCAAAAGACGAGGACGCAGCTCTGCTTCGCACCTTGCTGCACCGCTGCGGTTTGGTGGAGGAAGGACCCGAAGCCTGGATCGACATCCACACGGGACTGAGCGGGAGTGGAGTCGCCTTTGTAAGGGTTTCAGGATTGTTTAATGCGTTTAGAGGGAAGATTTTGTAACTGCTGGCAGACTAATAGGACTTTATCGAAACAGAGGAGTTGATTACTAATGAGATTCGGATAAGTAATTAATTTAAGGACATTGCTCTAATTACAGTGGTCAGTTGCAAACAAGCCCAAGGCTGTTCACAGACGGCTGTGTATGGCATGTGGTAAATCACATCAAGATGAACTGACAACAAATCAAACCGGCATAAGGCTGCAACAGGTTTTTGTTTTTTAATATTGCCTTCACATTCTGACAGCAATTAAAACATGAGCGCCTGCTGTCAGGAAGTGATCGCTCTGATAAAAACTAAATAGCATCTGTCGCTTGTCGCAGGTGTCCATTTTTTTTTTCTTCCCATTTTGCTCGATCCAAAGGATTGGACAGTTTTCCCACCCGTCTCTTCACACACACATTCACGTCCTCTGCAGGGTCAGTGTGCATGTGCAGAGTCAAAAGCTAAAGCTAGCGTCATGGTCGCACAAGAAAGCACTCCGTCTCGCAAACTTCCCCAAATCCACCTTTATCCTCTCTTCTGCTGGGCTCAGGATAATCAGCTTTTTTAATCAAAGCTAATCCAATCCTACTCAGAAGTTTTTACACAACACACACTGAAGGTTTAATCATGAGGAAAACAAACGGGGATTACCTGATCTAATCTGATTTCGGAATCCTTTTAATTCCTTCCAACAACCCCATTTTCGAGATTAGATCCAATCCTGTAGCGATAATCTGATCAGATTACTTTTTTAAATAAGAGGACCGTTGTGATTGTCACTCATGTGATCTCTCTCTGTCTTTCTCTATGTCTCTCATGCTCCCTCTCTCTCTCTCTCTCTCTCTCTCTCTCTCTCTCTCTCTCTCTCTCTCTCTCTCTCTCTCTCTCTCTCTCTCTCTCTGCAGGTCTATCTGTTTGCTGAAGCGCTGGCAGAAGGAGCTGTTAAAATGGGCATGCCGGGTGTTCTCGCTCACAGAATCGCATCTCAGACTATTTTGGTCAGTTTTGACTTCATCCTGATGGTTTTTGTCTGTGCTGTTAATCTGTTTTTGTCAGCTCGATAAATGAACCATATGAACCAGGGGAGGACATGAAGTTAGATTAGTTTTTAAAGTTCACTGGCCCCACCTTTGTGACCACAGACCCAGGAACATTACTTTTGAATTGTAAAGTAACAATCAACAATTTACTCTTTAACCAATCTGATGCAAAAGTAATTCTTCAAATAGTTCTTCTCATATGACATATTCTGTATTTAATCCTTGTATTTTGTTTTCTCATATTTATTCACCATGCTGGTAGCTGTAGCTGGTTTATCTAGTTGATATAAATGAGGTTGTGGCACAGCAGTCATTGTTTGTGTGATCACCTCTCGCTGAGTCTCTCCTCTGTGTGAGAAACTCTTAAAGTCCTCCTCGCAGAGCTTCACTTGAGGAGCTCTCGTAAGGTTGAGATGCTTGTTGAATAACTTGACATCTTTACCAGGATCTTGTCAGGATTCTTAGAAAATGTCACTTTAGGATAAAATCTTTATACGAAGGCAGCTTTGTGAATACAGCTGCCTGATCTTTCTGTAGCCTGCTCATCTTCCTTGTCTGCATATGTCGGCATTTATCAGCAGACTAAATGTTTAGCTGCAGTGGGTTCCAGCTCCAGCTCTCTGCAACTGTGGCTGGAACTTTTCTCTCTTCTGTTTTCTTATTCTCTGTCACTCGTGTCTTAACAGTGTTTTTGTTTTTATCTTTAAATACTCATTTGAGACCGGCTTTTGGGATCCGGTGGTTTCAAAAACAGCTTTACTAAGCTAGTTTTTTATGAGAATGTGTTACTGTTTTTTTATTTATTTTCAAGGCAATATTTTAACTGGCCTGAGCAGGACAGCGGAATGTGCAATCTGCAGGCTCGGACTCTGTCAATCAATCCAGATATAATGTCGAGCCCCGCATGAACCCTTCGTGATTATTCAGTTTATGTTCCTTTCTTTTCCAGGGTGCTGGGAGAGTGTTACGTGAATCCGGGAAGCATCCGGCTCAGCTCCGCTCTGAGGTCTGCACCCCGGGGGGAACAACCATCTACGGGCTTCACACGCTGGAGCAGGGCGGACTGAGGGCGACCACCATGAGCGCCGTGGAGTCTGCCACCGAGAGAGCCAGGGAGTTCGGCCGAAAGTCGGGGAGCAAAAAATGACACTTAACTCTTTGGCCACCACTCAAAAAGGACTCAAAATAAACCTCCCAATGAACTCAATTATGAACTCAATAAATCAGCATGAAACGCAAAGACAAAAAAAAGGACCTGTTGAATGAAGTTTCCCTCTCAGACAAGTTCAGTTCATTCTCCTTTTTCATCAGAAAGGAAATGTTGGCTTAAACTTGACTTTCACTCAGAAAAGTAAATTATTGGATGATAACCTTGTAATTTATTTAAATAAATGGCAACTTTTACATGCTGGCTAAGATCTAATCTAAGTGTTAAGGCACAAACAGGACTGTGTCACCCACATGTCATGTACACATAGTTCATCACAATATAAAATTCACAGTATTTGTTTACGTGTCATGTTTAATGAAGGCCATGTTAGCCTGTGCCTTCGACTACAGTAGAAACATGGACGCGTTAGAATCATGAACCCATTCGACAAAGAGTCAGTCAGACCAAAAAGCAACTTTGAAAACCTCAAATGTGATTGAATGCCTTAGTAGTAGACACGATTGGTTGATCATTTGCAGGTAATGTGGGCGGCTGCAGCTTCTCTTAAAGATGTTATCATCTGGACGTTGACTGAATTCTTAATGCAAAGTGTGTAGAGTTTTCATAAAGTGTCAAATGAACCATCCTTCTTTGTGCATCGCCTTCCTTTTGTTGGAGTGAAGCTGAGGTCTGAATACAGCCAGATGTTTTACATTTAGACATCAACTATAGATGCTAAAATTCCAAGTACAAGCAATAAAATATATTGTGTCCAAGCAGAGAAATTAAATCTGTTTGATGGATGGATTTGCGATAGTATTGTTTTGGGTTTTCATTGTCAAGCAAAGCGCCAAACCTGTTCTGGTTCAAGCTTCTCCATCGTTAGTATTTGTTGCTCTTCTCTGTTTTGTGCGACTAAAATCTTGGTTTTTGGACCCTTGGTTACAAAAAACACCATCAAGAAACTGTGAAAAGTATTTTTTTCAATAACTTAATCAACTAAATATGTAAATTATTTTCAGATCATCTAATAATGAATCTAGGGCCTGACTGATATGGGATTTTTGGGGGATGATACAGATATTGACATTGGGTATAGAAAAACACCCTGATACTGATATGTCAGCTGATATCTTTCTTAGCTCTAACTCTTCCTAGTTACCAAACACGTGTGGAAAAGATTTATAATGAAGACAGGATGGTCACTCAACAGGGAAGTAAGCATGTACCTGCATCACTACTTCACACTCTGGGGAGTGATGATGCTTGTTGGTATCCATGCAGCGCCCTCTGCTGGTGACAGACCAAAAGACAACTGTTAGTGTAATTCAAGTTTACTCAACTATTTGACTGTTGATAAAATATATACTCTACTCTATACTCTAGATATAAATATGTACTCTGTGAATTAACGTGAGCAGTAACAACAAGGATTTAAGAGGCTTTATAAATCCCTTAAAAAAAATGAAGGGATGAAACATTAGGAAATGTAATGGGTTGATTAGGAGCACATCTGTACTCCCTTGCTGCTAGGTTCCCAATGTAAATATCTTCATAAAATGAAAGACCTTTAAAAAGATGATTTGTCTGCATTTTTTTTTCCTTTGTGGCAAATGTTTAATTTTTTATATACTTTTTTATTTCACATACAGAGGAAACTCTGGTTTACACTCTGTTATTGAGAGACATGCTTCTCACACACAATCCTGAAATACACACATGAACAAACAGAACATGGACATGGAGAAAATTGTTAGATGTCAGAGTGGGGCTGTTGGGGTTTCAGTGCCTTGCTCCAGGGCATCTCAGCAGTACTCAGGACCTGGCACCCCTCCAGCTACCAGACCATAAAGGGACATAAGCCAGTGACCCTCCAGTTCCCAACCCCAAGTACCTACAGGCTGAGCTACTACTGCCACCTGCAAATTATGTTTCCCTGTGTCAATACATCCATACTTAATACTTAAGTATACTTAACTTAATACATAAATAATCTCCATTATTTTTTAAAGATGCATACTATCTAGAGAGTACAGGAGCTTTAAAAAACCTTCACATGTTTCTCAAGTCAATTTGGCATCGTGTAAAGATGCCGCGGTATTTTGAAACAGGTATTAGATTTTTACTGGAATCATATTGAATTAAAAAAAATCTCTGCTGCCTAATGAGGTGATACTCCTGTTCACCCTCAAATTCATCTGCATTTGCTCTTTTGCAATTGGAGTTGCAAAGACTACCCTCCTTACATATCTTTTGCAATGTTGGTTCAACATAGGAACCTCAGAAATTACGGGCCCAAAGTCTTTCTTGCATCACAGGTGTAAGAGTTGAGGAAAAAAGTTTTTACAGCAGCAACACAGAAGCTGTCATAAAGAGTAAAAGCTTGTGACACTACAGGGCAAAGGTTGAAAACATAAACAGAAAGTAGGTACTCAATTTTTTACTATTACTGGATCCTGTTCTTGTATAACTAACTGAATGACCCCTGGAGGTCATACTCACAAAACTGATTTCCCGACATCACTGAGTGTCAACCACAGACTGTGAAGTCAACAAAGGTTCAACATTAATGATTCATAACTGCCCCTCCCCCGTCCCCCCAGAAGATCTCCCCACCATCACTGCTGCTCCTTGCTTCCTCCTCTACCTCCTCCTCTTCCTCCTCCTCCACCTCCAGCTCCTCCTCCTCTTCCTCCTCTACCTCCTCCTCTTCCTCCACCTCCTCCTCCTCTTCCTCCTCCTTCTCTTCCTCCAGCTCCTCCTCCTCTTCCTCCTCTACCTCCTCCTCTTCCTCCTCCTCCACCTCCTCCTCCTCTTCCTCCACCTCCTCCTCCTCTTCCTCCTCTTCCTCCATCTCCTCCTCCTCCTCTTCCACCTCCTCTTCCTCCACCTCCTCCTCCTCTATCTCCTCCTCCTCCTCCTCTTCCACCTCCTCTTCCTCCACCTCCTCCTCCACCTCCTCCTCCTCCTCTACCTCCTCCTCCTCCTCTTCTTCTACCTCCTCCTCCAGCTCCTCCTCCTCCTCTTCCTCCTCCTCCTTCTCTTCCTCCATTTCCTCCTCTTCCTCCAGCTCCTCTTCCTCCAGCTCCTCCTCCTCTTCCTCCACCTCCTCCTCTTCCTCCTCCTCCTCTTCCTCCACCTCCTCCTCCTCTTCCTCCAGCTCCTCCTCCTCTTCCTCTTCCTCCTCCTCTTCCTCCACCTCCTCCTCCTCTTCCTCCTGCTCCTCCTCTTCCTCCTCCTCCTCCTCTTCCTCCAGCTCCTCCTCCTCCTCCGCTTCATCCTCATCTTCATCCTCCTCTTCCTCCTCCTCCTCTTCGTCCTCCTCTTCCTCCTCCTCCTCCAGCTCTTCCTCCAGCTCCTCTTCCTCCTCCTCTTCCTCCAGCTCCTCCTCCTCCTCCTCCTCCTCCTCTTCCTCCTCCTCCTCCAGCTCTTCCTCCAGCTCCTCTTCCTCCTCTTCCTCCAGCCCCTCCTCCTCCTCCTCCTCCTCTTCCTCCTCCTCCTCCAGCTCCTCCTCCTCCTCCTCTTCGTTTTCCTCTTCCTCCTCCTCCTCCAGCTCCTCCTCCTCCTCTTCGTTTCCTCTTCGTCCTCCTCCTCCAGCCCCTCCTCCTCCTCCTCCTCTTCCTCCTCCTCCTCCAGCTCCTCCTCCTCCTCCTCTTCGTTTTCCTCTTCCTCCTCCTCCTCCAGCTCCTCCTCCTCCTCTTCGTCCTCCTCTTCCTCCTCCTCCTCCAGCTCCTCCTCCTCTTCCTCCAGCTCCTCCTCCTCCTCCTCTTCCTCCAGCTCCTCCTCTTCCTCCTTCCTGTTGTCACTCACGACTGGAGAAGCACGTTTCATCCACCGGCCTCGTTTCACACCGACAAGACCAACAGAAACAGCAGTAAGTAACGTTGACGCTGACTTGACAGCCTTTGTTTCGTTCTGTCGATGGCTGTTGTGATTTATTTAAACCACATATTTGGTAAATTGATGAATATTCAATGTTGTACATCTTGTGTTAGCCGAGGCTAGCAACCGGCTAACAAGAGCTAGTGCTAATGCTAATGCTAACGCTGCTGTCACGCCGGCTTCATTTTCCGCCCCTCAACCTATTTAAACGTGTTTTACACAAAAGTCCAAATGAAAACTAAAGCTGCGGTGTCGCATTTTTAAACAAACAGTGTTATGTCGTTGTCCCATTGAATACTAACCACCTATTTACATCATTTCATCCTAGCTACGTGTCAGATATAATGTTGCTATGAGGTTAGCATGGCACACCTTCTGATGATGACATCTGTGTCGAGGCTTTGAACTTTACCTTTTTTATTTCATTGTGTAACATCCAGCACGACAGGGTTTTCTGCATTCATGTGAGACGTGTCGTGACATTTAAAGTGAGCATGTGAAGTCTCTTAAACAGGATCTGTATTGTAAATTAACTTACACTGATTTATTCAGATTTGGGTTTGAGGATGCTTTAGTCCTGTTTAGATGAGGTGGGTATACTTTAAAACTCTTCAGTGATGTTCAGTTTGTATATTTATGAGCTGAACATGTGCCTTGGAAACATTACCCCTCTCTTCTTGGGATAATTGATCTACCCGTGATCCAGATATCAACCTCTTGTGTAGGTGAACTCACCTTGTATGGGCCAGTAGGACAACACATCAACCAGCTTATTTATAAAATAAAAAGGACATCAAAAGGAGAAAAGACAGTGGAAACATGGCAAAGGTTATTTGAGGTGACTTCCACAAGTAGTTGCTGAATGAAAATGTGATAATTTGGGGCGCTGGTAGCCTAGTGAAGGGGTTCCCAAACCTTTCAGCCAGGTTCAAATCAGATCTAGGGCTCCTTTCCCCCCCATGCCATTCCCAACTCTCTCCCCCCCCAATTTCTCACTCTATCCACTGTCCTGTCACTAAAATATAAAACCACAAATAAACCTTTAAAAAAACAAAAAAATTATAATTTGTGGGATAAAACTGGCAGAGACCCATCAATCACATGATAAGCTACTAAATTAATGAACAGGGGATGTTTTGTTTTTTTTACATTGGTATCAACCAATATCAGCCCTAACATTGTCCCATCAGCAAGTAATGTGGCATGACCCGATGTCAGTAGCTGATGGTTTTATGTTGTGTGCGTATTCAAACGATGGCATTCAGTACATCTGACATCTGATCAGAGTAGAGTTTTTTTCTCTGATCTGTTCTGATGGTCAAAATGTTGGCGTTGTCGGAGTCTTACACCGTTATAAAAAACATCGCTATTGGGTCTGATTTTCCATATCGGTGCATCCCTATAGATCAGGGATGGGCAATTTGGTCACGGCAAGGGCCACATTCAATTAATTCTCCCTGCCAAAGGGCCAAATTGTAGTATACAAAAACGATCAATTATGAATCAATTATAAAAAAAAGTCAATTATGTCTCAAATTTAACTCAACATATGCCAGTGATCAAATATTATTATGGACGTATTTCTGGTTTTCATGATTTCATGGCAGATTTTGTCACATTTTCTTCACGTTTCCAATTAATTGATATTTAAAAATTGACCTGAGGGCCACTTTGAGGGTTGATGGGGGCCGCATGTGGCCCCTGGGCCGCCAGTTGCCCACCCCTGCTATAGATTCTCAAATTTAGATATATTTTCTGTCTTGAGTCATCTGTGTTAGCAAATTGATTATATTTAATTTAAGGATTCCATATTCAGAGGTGTAAATCAATTGATCCATGGGAAGAAAATTAATTATACATCCAGTAACCAAGAAAATCATCAGCATTGATCTGTAATTAAAAATGATCTTTTGTAGCAACCCTCGATACTAAAAACCCTTACGCAAAGACAAAAGAAAACACTAAATTGAAGCGTTGTTTATGTATCCAAAGCCTGACATACCATATTCCTCTGTGCCTCAGATTTCTCCAAAAACCATTAAGCTGAATATAAATTTCCAGACGTAACCATCCTTGCAGCATGCAGACTTTTGCAAGCATGTGCCCCTGAAGTCTGCAAGTCCTCAGGGCTGTCTAAACGGCTCTTTTCTCCTTTGTCATGATGCTTTTGATTTCTGTGTGAAGCACTTTGAATTGCTGTGTTGCTGAAATGTGCTATATAAATAAACTCAATAAGTGGCTTCCTCAGACTTCCTGCAGACTTCTTGAGTCTACTTGAAGTGCAGACTTAAAAAAAACGTTACTGATTAAATAGACATGGCAGTGTAATTGTTCTAACTGCTGACCATTTAACAACAAGAACTTACTATGCATGCATACATTTTTTTTTTTTTGCTTGAATCATGAAAGGCAGGAAATACCCCACTACTCCGCTACAGTCTTAAGGCCTCCCTACCTACGTCCTTAAGTCTTGCATCCTAGCAGGCTTGACTTTGTTAGAGTTTAGTCAGCCTTAAGAACACACCAGTGAGCTGTTACACTGGATTGACTCGTTCCTTCATCACTATAAACATGGACACCGTAGTTTATTTTTAGTCAATCCCTACTCACACAGTCCTGCTGCCAGAAATACCTACTAGAGCACCAAATTGGTACTAATGTGCCGCTTAAAATAGCAGCAAGCTGTTTCCTCCTGTGTTAACATTTGCTAAATTTGCTGCACACACACAAATAGAGTAGAAAAGGCAGAAAGCATTCAAGGGGCTTGTTTTTGATTCTTGAAAATATAGAATATCTCCAGCTTTTGGCTGGTTAATGACAGTTTTTGCCACTGGCTGTCCATTTAGATGCGTCTAAAGGGGTGAATCTTCATATCTTGTAGTAGGAAAATAACATTAAAAAATGATCAAATCTGGCAAGAAATCCAGCACAATCATGCATTTTTAATCACAGCAATGGCTCATGGGTTACAAAATGACAAATGGCCCTATAAAGTTTACACTTATATTCAATTGGCCCAGGAATTAAATAAAAATGTAATGTTTTGGGGGGACTTTTTATGCCTTTATAGGACAGTGGATAGAGTCAGAGAGTGGGAAAGGAGCCAAAGGTCAGACTTTAACCTGGTCAACCCGCTTGGAGGAATATTGCCTGGGTCAAACGCACTAACTGATAGAGATAAAGATATTTTTAATGCAGATATTCAGCACAATATCTAAATGTATTATGAACATCTAAACGGCTGCAGTACTTTGAAAATGAATCCTTTAGTTTATTTGTTGATTTAAAAAAATAATAATAGACCAAACAAACCCACACAACAAATGATGTACAAATTGATGTTCATATATCTTAATTCCTTGTGGTCACGTTTTGTTCTTGTAGGAGCATAAACTGCTGCTATGGTGTGCTTAACTGTTTCAAATTACAATAGTCACCCATCAAGCGGCAACCTTCGGTGTTGAAAAACAAAGCCGATGTGGAAGCGCAAAATATTGCAGTTTGTCGAGGGTCCACTTGTCTGCAGAAGCACCAAAAGTCAAATACAAACCCTGTTCAAAAAAGCCCTTTTTTAAGCTTCGTCCATTAATATTTACAGTCTGTCTTCCACACATAATACATTAAACAGCACCAACTTAAAAGTCTTAGTTTTTTATATCACAGTCTCTGTGTTTGATCGGCTAATTAGGATCATGTACTTTCTAAAGGACTGCTTTGACAGCCTGATCATTTTCTGTGATGGCTGGGGAAAGTGCAGCCCCAGGTTCCTTCCATTTGACTGGAGAGAAATTGGATACAGTGGAAAACCTTTGGGATGCATCCAAGTTGTTGGTAAAATCGAAGGCTGTGTTATTAAGCACAACCCCCTACAAGATGTTTTTTTATATTAGTCATCATTCTCGACTAAAGGGTTAACCTTAAAAAATCTGTTAGCCTTAGGTTTATGTTGAGAAATAATTAACGCGTAGTTTCTTTCCTCTCATGTTGCATTCAGAATTTGACAAGTGAGTATTCCTTTATAACACTGACCTTTATGTCGTTTTGAGTTTTGTCTGTTTCCACTGCTATTTCTAGACCCTTTTTTTAATAAGTGACATTGTTTTGCAAGATGGTGATTGTTAATTTTCTTTCCCAATGGCTTGCGGTTAACTGGATGAAAAGAACGTGTTGAGCATTTGACCTTGATAATAGTTTAAGCTCAACACATTTACAAAGCAAGGTGAGTTCAGAGCTTGAATAGAAGATTTTTTGTCAAACATTTTAAGCAGAAAATGCCTTCCCAGAAACGGTGTCCCAATCTGTGTTCAGTCGTGTGTTGATGCTTTTCAGTGTTACTGCCTTCCACATGATGAAACATTAAGGGAATGCATTTCCTGTATTGCAACAGAAAAGTGAAACACCATTTATAAAAAAATAAAAATAAAAAAAAGAAGCATGAATCTTGTGACGTTCTGACAGCAAAACCTGAGTTATGACCTCACCTGTATGAGCATGTCGGTGCATTTCACAGATCTCTAAATGTCAGCATGTATTCTTATTAAATCCAAAAAAATGTAATCTTTTGCATGAAGCATTTCACCTTTATCTCCCTTTCATGCTTTTCCCAAAAAAGGGCTGCACAATTAAATAGTGATGTTTAGCCGAATGCAATATTCAAACAACTTATAAAGTCAAGAATTTACAGCGATGCCCTGGTTGACAAAATGTGTTCATCAGAGGATAAACATTACACATAACACATGTTTAATGGTGGAAAACCCAACTATTGTCCTCCCTAATCATTTTGCTAACAACTCAAATGAGAATATAACATTTCTTCCCATTGATCATTGTCGTATTACAGACATATCTGTCAAAATACTATATTTTTTATATGATGCAGTCCTAGTCTTGTGCCTCATTTTAAATGCACCGTATGTCAATTCTACCACCAGGGGGCTGCCAATCAAAACGATAACAAAAGATGATGTCGAGGCTGTCAGGGAGTCATGGGAGTGATTCTGTCTTTCCAACTTTCACAATTATTTACCCAAAGTGTCTCGAAAGCAGTGTTGGGTTTCTAAAAGGATTTGTTTGCTTTGATAACACAGCTATTATAGGAGCTAGCTGGAGGCTGTCTTTAGTAAGACTCACTCCATATCTGCTTGAAATTCACTCTAAAACCATTTAAAAAAAGTAAATTCCATTCATGAAACATTGTAGTTGATATGCATGGCTTGCTCATCTGATCAAATCTTTTGAAGTACTTTCCAGGCCCTATTTTGTAGTGTCATCATCGCACATTTCCAGTACAAATGTTTATTTTAAAATGATGCATTTGCTGTAATGAGTCTAATAGATGAATCCCTTTGTATCTCTTATCCCTTCCTGTGTCCCTCTAACTAATCCAAAAGCCTGTACTTTGTTGTTTTCTGTCTTTATTTCCTGCAACGGATCAAAGATGATGTCTAAGAAGACCTCCCATTGCTCTGCATCGGATCAGTCGGAGCGCGATCAGCCTCCCAGCCATTGTCAGGTGGACAGATCAGCGAATTCGGCACCGGGGTTTAAGATCAAGACCGAGTCGGGTCAAAGAAACGGAGAGTCTTCATCCCCAGAGAGCAGCAGCTTGAACGGAGATGGAAAGCGCAGTGGGAAAAGCCGCCAGCGCCGCAAGAAACGCTCATCCAATTCTGCTAGTCGCCCTGAGGAGAAGGTCGCAAGTAACACCAAGGAGGGAGAGAAGTCAGACACAAAGACCAGTCAGCCTTCAAACCCCCACTCTGGACTGATCGGCCTCCAGTCTGAGTGCGCTAACATCTGGTTTGAGCGCAGCATGTACGAGCAAGCTGAGAGCCTCTACCAGTGCTGGTTGGCGAGCTCTTCAAAAGGGACCACCCAGTCAAACCGTTCGACCCCGGTCCAACGAAAGAAAAACTCAAACTCTCCATCCACCTCTGCTCCGTCTTCCTCAGGACTGTTGTGTCACCATGGCGATCAGATGGCCTGCCACCATGTCGTCCAGAACGTGTGGGTGAACAAAACAAGCTTTGACCAAGCGGAACAACGCTTTGTTGAAGGAACCGCACAGCCATCCATTCCCAACTCGCTGAACATCCCTTCTCCACCCAACCGTTCCATCACAACCAGAACACCTGATGAAGGATATCAATCTTTAGCCCCGACCCCTTCAACCCCTGTCGTCCAACAAGCAGTGGTGACGCCAACAAACAGGCAGTCAATTAACGGACTTCCTCGCATCCCCATCGAGCTGCTGAGGGACGTCTGGCTGGAGAAACCGCTGTACGACCGCGCCGAAGCAGCCTTCTACCAGAATCTGTACGGGAACAACTCCTCCAAACGTTCAAGCTCTGCATCCACCTCCAGAAGTAGTGACCACCCTCAAAGCCTTGTAGAAGAAGAAGAAGAGGAAGAGGAGGAGCAAGAAGTTGTGGTGGTGGAGGAGAAGAGGGCGGTTATGCAGGGGAAAGCCGACGTGTTCCATGCTCTGCTCCCGATTCAGGAAGAAGAGGAGCCAGCAGAGGTCTCAGAGAAAGAAGAGGAGTCGGGGGAAGGCGTTTGCCACTTCCTTCACCCAGACAGCGAGCGGGTGTGGCTGGATAAGTGGCGTTATGATGCCGCAGAGAGTCGTTTCCACGGCTGCAATGGAAGTGAGGCTGTGGGGGTGAAGAAAGGTCGGAGGCCGGAAGCAGCGTCCGTTGCCTCCATCACCCCACTGAGGGACAAGTATGAAAACACCAGGAGAATGGAGCTGCTTCTGATGTTTCAGTTTTCTTTCATTGGTTTTGTTTATTTTTTTCATGCGTTGAATGCGTGAACAATTTCCCTTTTTTCATTCATTATCTTTCTTTTCTTTGGGTTCGTCTTGGTTCATTGATATTTTATTTCTCGCTGCTCGCTTTCAGTTTTCCCCCGACTGACTGATGCTGTATGAACCCAAACCATTGTTGCATTTTTCCATTCATTGTCACTCATAGTTTCTTTTTGTGTTTAGTAGTAATACAGTTTTTCTTTTCTTTTCTTTTCCCTGACCTCCTTTGTCCTTTTCACACATCCCTCTCTTCTCCTTCCTCGCTCTCTCCTCTGTAGCACCATGTCTTCTACCGACTTTCTGGCCCAAGAGAAGATCTGGTTCGACAAACCTCGCTACGACGAGGCGGAGAGACGCTTCTATGAGCAGGTGAACGGCACCCCACAACCAACACAGGTACTAAACTGACTCAGAGGTTTTGTTTATCTTTGCTTTTTGACCTCTGTTTCAGCCAGGTTCAGGTGAATTTCTCCTCTCCTTATTCTCAAAAACAATCAAATTCTGACATTGTAAAATACAATGGTGTAGGATTCATGTATTATTACTGAGGCCTAACCTGGAGACACTTTCCTAAACTTTTGTTAATCTTTTATAAATATTTCTTGCACTTTAATGAATCTGATTTGAACAAAATCTGACTTGCATTTGATGTGAAGTTTAAATCTTGTTGCAGCCTTTGCACACTGCACAAAAAGAGCAAACTGTGAGCTGAGGAGGGTGAGGGCAAAATGATTCATCAGCGTTGTATTCGTTTTCTCACAGGATGCTGGAGCCAACAGCATTCTGCAAGACATTGCTCGAGCCCGGGAGAACATCCAGAAATCTCTAGCAGGAGTAAGTACAGACAATTCCCTGTATCTGCCTCTTATCCTGCATGTTCCACTCCTTTTTTTTTTTTTTTATGTCTCAGGGGTTTAAAAAAGGAAAATTTTAAAGCAAAGCATTTCTCTCCTATACCTCTCTATATAAGTCAAAGCTGAAGCACTAAATGTGCTGAGGTTGAACCCTCCTGTACTCATGTTCATAGACTAGTGAGAATATTTGTATTTTTGTAAATCCATTTGTAACCTTTATTAGTGAAGTCCTCAACAGGATTATTGGGAAAACATGGAAGCATGTCTTGTGTGTTTGTTGTATCAACTCTGCTGCCTAAAATTGTGATCAGATTCAACATGTTTCAGACTCCTTGATTCATCCTAGTTTGTTACATCGGTTTTTACTAAACAGACATTACGGTCTATCAAACATTTAAATGTAGAGTCAGTACACACAACATCCAAACTGGGCCCCTCCTCATGGGAACATTTCCACCAGAGGCGCACACTCACCGCATGGTTAGCATGCGTTTACAGCTTCCTGAGAACATAACATTTCTTAGTAATGGAAAAATTGATAATTTGGCGAGCTAGCACAAGCTGACCGACTGTGTTTGGTACCTGCTTGTCCACCAAAAAAAACTCCGTGTCCTTGGGAGAAAACCGACTCAAGGTTCCCCCCCGTGTTTTGGGTGACTTGGTATTTAGCATTACTGTGATTATATGTCCCGCCTTTACCGCTATGTCCGCAATATTCATTGGTTTGAATGGTGAGCAATTGCTAAATTGTATCCACTATCAAATCCCCCTGAACGCTGTTATTGGCTGGGTGAAAACGCATGAATTCCCCGCCCTGAAACGTCTCGAGTCAACCAAAATATGAAAATCCAGGCAGAGGACATTCTTATTTTTTAGGAAAAGCTGCTGACTCTGTCTTTAAGAATACATCGGACATATTTATAGTTGACAAACATCCTCGGGTTATATTAGAGTCAATGTCGGGGAAACACTGGAGACGTTACCATGAAACCTCTCATATCAATGGTGTATCTCAGTTGTTCTCCTTCAGCATTGTGCACGTCATTCAGTGTTCCTCCCTCCCTCCCTCCCTTCTTCATGCTTGAACTCCCCTCCTACCCCCCCAGCTGAAGTCCACACTGTGTAACAGAGGGTCTGGTCAACCTCCCCTGAGTCAACAGTCCCAGTTTGTAAGTGCCGTCCAAACCGTGTGTGTCCCTGAAACCACCTGGCTCACATCCACGCTCCAGTGTATTACAGTACAACCCTTAGCTTAGCTTTTCTTTTGCCATTAGATGATTTTTTGTGTGTGTGTGTGGAGTTTTGCAAACCCGATCCAAGTAGCTGCTTCTCACTGAAATTGCTGTCAGACTCTAGCCCCTGTGTTACTGTCTGAGGCTGTAGACGTCTCTGAAATGGGACGCTGGCTGTGTGTTTTGTGTTCACTCTGTCTACTAGTCCTGAGTGTGATCAAAAGACTCACTGTGTGATTTGGCCTGCAGATATTGCTCTCATTGAATTTTCTTGATTTTGTTTCTCTGTGTGTCTACCCAAAGCAGCAGCAGAGCAGCAGTGCAGCTGATCAAGGAGAGCTGGTCTGTCGAATTAAGAGCCTGGAGCTGGAGAAACACAGCTTACAAAAAGGTGCCTTTGTTTGTCCACTTCTAAAACTATGAATGTGCTTTTGTTTTCTTTGCTTGCATGTCTAGACTCCTGAAGCACAGGGTGTGTATTTTTAGAGCCGCTATTTGCTTTTTCACACATTCTGCGTTCATTAATTACTTCTGAGTTAAAAGTTCAACATATTTGGAATCAAGATTCTTAAGAATAAGAACGTGCGACATATTACACATAAGATACAGAATAAATCAAGTATATCCTGTAAACGTCTCTGAGTCATGACTGTCTACAAAGAGTGAGAAGCTCGAGTCCCGACAGTTGTACTGTTGTCAGTGCTGTGTTAACATGGACTGGACGGCCTTGTGTATAAAAGCTGTTTTAGTCAAGGACTAGAGAAAAGAAGAAGAACATACTCGCTGATCATTTGGATTGTCACATAAGCATCTTTAGAATAGTGGAGGTGTCGCCAAACAGTGACCCCCTCCGCTATTCTTTTGTTTGTTTTGGTTTCATGCTGGAGCATGCTTCCTTTTAATGATGATTGTTATGAAACTGTTAGGTAGATGGAGTGGTCTCGTCACACACATTTCAAAGTAACAAATGAAAAAAAAAATCCTACATAACCTCGGGAATCAGAGCAAAAGCGAAAGGTTGCACTTAAGTATTTATTTAGTACTTTGTACCTGCAGTCCAAATGAACGGTTAAGTCTGTTAATCATGACTTATGGTCATCAGCTTATTTTCTATGAAGACAAACTACCAAGCCTAAGGAATGTGGACAAAAATATATATCGCAAGATGCTGCAACTGTCAATCATCAAGGATTGAACATAAAAAAAATAACTGACTGAACCTTCATTTTATGTTTCATCAAATTTGACAGCTGATCAGAGTGCTTGATTTTAAATGAACGTTTCATCAGTGGTTATGATCATCTCCTTTGTTTCCGTTTCTGTAGTGGTGGAAGACTTGAGGGCCGCTCTTTCCAAACTGGAGTGTCGGGTATCTGTTCTGGAGAATTCTCCTGCTGCGGTGACCTCAGCTCCCGCTCCTTCAGTCCCCTACACAAATGTGAGTTCACACCTGCAGTTTTCATCAAAGCACACATTTGGGGCCCCGTTGTTCAAAAGAGTTAAAACCCGGATGAGAATGATCTGTGCATGGAAACTATCCAGTATCAGGTAATCCATTTTACCTGGTCCAGATAACGACTTTTAATGGAAGCCAAATCTGGATTACCTGTGCTCTAAATGGGACTTCATACTAAATATACTGCCTTTTGGCCAAATCAGTATGTATTAGTAGTGAAGTAAGCAGTTTGGATAACAGACCATGACTGCTGCTTTGAATGTTTTATCTGATATTTACAGCATTTTGGTAATTTTTTTTCATAGGGACAGAATCTTCAAATGTTTCTAATATACAGCATGTTTTATGTCAGGGTTGCATTTCAGCATTTCAATATCAAACTAAGGTTAGAATGTCTAAACATTTCCTCATAATTTTAAAAACCTTGCTTTGTTTGACCTCCTTCAATGATTTAATTTTGTTCCTTCAATCAAATCTGAATATTGCCCTCTGCTGGGATCAGGATTATTTTCAAGATCAGATCCAATCATCTCTTTTTTAACAACTGGGTCCTTGTGTTGAGTTTTATCTGCAGTCCACCACCACAGACCTCTTTTCTAAGAATGTGGTTATATTGAACCCTTTTCAGGGCACAGCCGTCCAGCAGAAGACCAGCGCGCCGGTTAAAAAAGTGGAGGAAGAAGAAGAAGAGGATGATGATGACGATATTGACCTGTTTGGAAGCGATGAAGACGAAGAGGCAGAGAAAATCAAAGAGCAGCGGTTGAAAGAGTACGCCGAGAGGAAGGCCAAGAAGCCCAGCATCATCGCCAAGTCCTCCATCTTATTGGACGTTAAACCTGTAAGTCAACCCTACATTTCTAACAAACTAACAATAAAAAAACAGGCTTTATACATTTTACAGATTCTGACACTTTACACCTCTCCTGCCTTATTTTTTTAAGTGGGACGATGAAACCGACATGGCAAAGCTGGAGGAATGCGTGCGCTCCATCAAAGCCGACGGCCTGTTATGGGGAATGTCCAAGCTGGTCCCGGTGGGTTACGGCATCAAGAAGCTCCAGATAGCGTGTGTGGTGGAGGACGACAAGGTGGGAACAGACATCTTGGAGGAGGAAATCACCAAGTTTGAAGACTATGTAAGTTAAAATCCTCTCCATGAAGGAACAAAACTGTTTTGGGGAAACTAAAAGCACATTTGAAATCTTTGCTTTCACATATTGTAAAATTCATGTTTCCTTGTGTTTGGTCTGTTTCAGATCCAGAGTGTCGACGTAGCAGCTTTCAACAAAATCTGATTCCATCACGTCTCTTTCTGTCTTTTTGTCATGCCTTGTTTCTCTGCTGATTGTGTTGACGGTTAAAAACAATAAAAATCCAACTCTTGCACTGAAGCTGTTGTCTGTGTGATGTTTGAGAAATGGTCATGCTGCGTTCTTGTCTTGGTTTTAAACTCTCAATTCAACTAAATATTGAAAACGAACTGAGAATACATGAATAAATGTTTCACTGGATGGACGTTACATCCTGCAGATTCACTGGGATGCATCTCCAGTGATGTTTATTGGGTGTTTCAACATCATACACCCTCTCCAGGGATGATCAAGCCTCCACTTGCATCCCAGCAGCATTATGTCATGGATCACCCCTTTTTCATCCAAAGCCATCTGGAGGTTTTTGCTTCTGCCTCCTTTGCAGTCCTGATGGCCGTTTTCTGCAAGAGCCCTCTCATGCCGAGCAGGGTGTAGACTCTGAGAGAGCAGACTGCAGTCGTCTTCCACCGGATGGCAGTGTGCTTCCTACCCCTCTGTGCCCGGCAATCCTCCAGAAGTCCCTGGTACTTGGCCAGCTTCCTTTCAATGCGGTCTTCCTGGGGCATAGTCGACTTTATCAGGGCAAGCTGCCTTGAGGCCTCTGTCAGAATGACGATATGTGGTCGCAATGACGTCTCTGTGATGTGCAAGGTCAGCCATTATCTGCCAATCCTGCTTGAAGATGTAGTTTTGTCTGCTCCCCTGCCTTCATGAACATTGCCTGCTGCGTGGAGAGGCAGTGGGGCCTGTTTTTTGTTTTGTTTTTTTTCATAATGGAGGAGCTTTCAGCATCTGGTCATGATGCTACAAACAAAAATATTTCTAAAGAAGTTAATTCCTATTAACTACCAATTTCTAATACATTCATCCTTGGAGTTAAGTGGATACTTAACACAATTTATAAAAGATTACCGCACTCTGATTTTGCAGGAGCATTTTGCACAGTGTCCAGCAGGTGGAGATATGCATTGAGGAAAGAATAAAAGCCTCTTCATGATCTGTCATGTGTTTTGTATTTCACATTGCCAGGAGTGCTGCACATACTGAAAACTGTCACAAGGGGGACAAAAATATACAAGAAGTGCCAAATTTTTTTAAGATGTTGTTGATATTTGCGTGTCAAATATGAACGTAAGAGCTCTTTATGTTTTACTGTGTTTAAGGCATTAAATGGACTTGCCCCTGCTTACCCCTCAGACCTCCTGTCCCCATATCAGCCGGTGAGAGATCTTAGGTCATCAGCACAAAACCTTCTGTCAGTGCTATAGATCAGGACAAGGTGCCAATGGGGATTGTGCTTTTTTAATTGCAAGACCAAAACTCTCTCTCCCACTATTGATGTTGTCACTTGTTCTTTTCTTTTTTTTTGTTGTTTTTTTTTTTTTTGTTTTTTTTTGTTGTTGTTCTTGTCTGTTACTTTCTAATGCTTTGTTTTCTGCAATGTTCAGCACTTAGGATCAATTATGTTGTGTTTAAAGTGCTATATAAATAAAGTTGAGTTTATTTGGTCCATAATACTTGTGTGATTTAATTCCTTTTTGTGGGTTTTATTGTACGAAAGCCCTTCATGGACATACATCCATATTTATTGTACTCTGTTCTCCTATGATAACCAGTGTTGTCCGATTATTCTATCAAGGTCTCGACTTCTTTAAGTGTAATCTTGAGATAAGTTCGATAAAATTGTTAATTTCTTGAGGTTTTGAGAAAACGACTCGCTGTCACTGGATCTCTATCCCTAGTTAATCGGATAATTAAGCAGAGATCTTGAGAAAACAACTGAAATTTACTGCTAATCACAGAAAAACTCTAAATATTATCTGTGAATGCATGTCTGTAGGGCTCCCATAATGTTTTGTTTGAGTACCAAAATTGTTGTCATTTAAAATGATCTGGGGTTTTTCGTCATCTCCCTCCGTCATCCTCCTGTCGTTTTGAAGGATGAAGAATTTCCCATAGAGCATCTTGAGGAGAGAGGAGACTTATTTCTACTGGAGGAGTGTATCCATTCATACCTTTTTGTATCTTCATTCACTGCATATAGCCTGAGCAAGCAATCCACATGAATATAAGTTGGTATAAGTTGTGTTAAAACTGTTAAAATTACAACTTTAGGACAAATTATGCCGATGTGCTTCACACCTCAGTTTTACAGATGTTTGTTAAAGCATGTTGACCTGTCTTTTACTTCCAACTTGGCCAGGAGGAAGATGAGAGGAGAGGAGCCAAGGAAAGGAATCAGAGTGTACAGAGAAAGAGAAAAATCACTTGTACAGTGTTTTTGAACATATATGTGGGTAACCTGAGTGTCTACTGACCCACAAAATGTGAAATAAATCTATCCAGTCCTTTGTTTGTGGTCTGCATAAGTCTTACAAAACAGAGAAAAATGCTCCGTTTCAAATATGCTCTCCTTGTGATGTCACAGTGGGATCTCTGTTAAAAGAAATCCCCTCCCCTACCCTGATATCTCCACCCCCAGTGGATGGACTCCACCCCCAGCCTAAAACAAAACTTTAGAGCAGGTCCTCCATTTTTATTCTTGCTACAGAGGAGTAATGTCTACCAGGAAAACTCAGCAGGGGCTCATTGCATTTAAAGAGACACACACACCAAAACAGAGCGTTCTGAGAGAGCTGGTTTATACAGTGTCACAAACCTCCTCTGGTGCTTGATTCATGTATATTTTGACCAAAGCACAGCACAGATGTTTCATTTAGACCACAGGAGACAGTTTGAAAAGGTGGAAAAGGGGGATAATATGTAGCCTACTCTTTACCTGCTATAATGCTAAAGACGTAGCCTATTTGTTGCACCTGTCCTCATATTTTAAATGGGAGAACCATAGGTGAGAACGAGCAATAGAAAGACACAAATATTATTTAATATTCAGACCCAAAGTTTCTTTTGTACCAGGCTGCAAAGATGTTTGTTTCTGCTTTAAAGTTGGACATTTTAAAAATTGAGCCTCACATTTGGAGGAGGCCCCCAGGTGGCCTTTAGAGGAACTGCAGTTATTGACACCTTAAGGGGTCCTTTAATGGCTCGGGGGTTGATTTTCTCTATAAATCCCTTAAACTGGACACTTTAAAGGGCATTATCCTTTACTTATCTGATTATAGTATCATTGAATGTTGATGCAAGGCTACAATTAAAAACAAGGAAGCCACCCCATGGTCCCTAAATCAATATAGCCACAGCATTTATGCACTATCCTTTAGTCTACTTATCTGATTGTAGTAGGGTAAGGGTTAGGGGTCATTTCATGTGGATATGGCTGCAATCAAGAACTAGGAAGTCACCCTTTGGGACCCGGATTATTTTGCAGAAAAGGAGGGATTCTGACTAATTATAATTGCCTTGATTTGCATCTTTCTGCCCTCCAGCAGACCAAGTTTATCTCGGTCCGTGAAGGCAGCATCTCTCTCGCTCTCTCTCTCGCTCTCTCTCTCTCTCTCTCTCTCTCTCTCTCTCTCTCTCTCTCTCTCTCTCTCTCTCAGTGTTGACAGGTAGGCTACATGAAGGTTGAGTTGCGTTGCAAACCTCAGCAGAAGTGTCGACTGCGACTGAAGCTGATGCTCATTGCACGCATGGAAACCGGACTATCACCTTAACCTGCGTAACGTGCCTGAACTATTATCAGCGCTTTAACTCTGCATCACATCTTCAGCAAGTGTGCAGCGTGCACGCAGAGACGGTGCACGGGCTCGGTGCCTCTGCAACCCCCCACAAGGTAAGACTTATGAGCTTTTTTTAAAACAGCCTTTTGACATATTTGATACTTTTTTATTTCTTGGAGAACAATGAAGAAATGCCTTAAACATGCAGACTATCGATGCCTTCACCTGGGAGGTTGCACGTTGTTGCTGTGAAACGATGGAGGAAACTTGACTTCAGATTCATTTTTAATCAGACCACAAACTGGAGCATACGTCCTAAAAATTAGAGCTATATCTTCTCTTCCTCAAGGAATTTTAAGAACATGCACTTTTGTACAGAGTCCTGCAGGGTCAGGCTTATGTTGGAAAATAAACTGCATGAAATAGATCCAACTTTACAGAGAATACATTGAAAGATAATGGCTATTTTTGCATTTTAACCTTTTGGGATTCATGTTGAGAGAACATTTTAGCTAATAGTATCCCTCTTCTCATTGGGGCACCGTAGGGCCATGGTTCTCCTCACAGAAAAACAGATGTTTTTCAGCTGTATTTTGGTTTACAGTATGTGCTGAAGCAAGGCAGCTCCCTGAGGAATGCCCTTACCTCAGAGCTGAGTCATGTAAATTATACCTCCCTTCTCCTTCTTCCCCTCATATCTGTGAGTTGTTATCACCAGGCAAGTTACATTTGATGAAAAATGGAGACATTTTCAAGCATAAATTCATACTTATTCTATAACATAAGTGCAGAAAATAACCAAATATTATAAAAGTTTTAGTGAAAAGTGTGATTAAATGATTAAAACACATTGCAAATATGTTGCCAGACTTCATTGCAAAGCTAGTTTGTCTCCACTCTGATAAGATTTTTCAGATTCTTAAAATGAATTCAATTCCATACGAGTGATGACAAGCTAGATTATTATATGTATTTCCAACAAGCTGTGTTTTACGGTGCACAGAAACATGTTGGCTCACAGCTCCTGGAACATATTTCAGTGATTGGACCAGACGTGTGTTTTTGTTTTTTTTAAACCCACACAATCTGAACTGAATCTTTATGAGAATGATCCTCAAAAGATAATAATAATAATTAGAGTCAGTCTAGTGATTCAAACAAAATGAGAGTTCTTTAAATGGGAAACATATAGCTTTATTGGGGATAAATTACACCACCAAAGTGTAATGTCCTTCGTTCCTTTCTGGCTTGTATAATAAATGCAGACACGTGTCGTTAAGTAGCCAATAAAACAGGGGAATGTGCCTCTAAAGGGGGCATTGTAATCAGTTTTAGTTCAGAGAGAAAAATGCAACATCCTGGAGGTAAACATCCAAGCTGAATGAAAAGTGCTGATTTGATGGTGCTGTGTGATACCGGCTCCTCCGCCTGCAGCGCAGACACAGTGAAAGTCATCTTACA